GATCCTAAAAAGTCGACAACACCGTTAATCTCCTGTGTATTAGAGAAAATAGTAAAAACTAATATACTTATTCATAAAAATGTCAAACGTTTAATATATCTATATTAGCTACAGTACACTCTTTTTCTTTTGAACTTACTCTTTAATATATAAGAAAGCGATAATAAACCACGCAAATAAAAATAGGTTTGTTATATAGTAAGAGGATAAATAAATAAATTCAATTAAGGATTAAGAATATCGAAATATCCGTACAGTCGGCGGCGGGGTTGCTACGTGAAGCTCGATTCGGGACAAAGATCGTGTGTTAATTCGGACCGCGTAGACCAAGGGGCGGCGGTCGGGGTTAGTAAACATAATCATGCCCTCCTCCCGCTCTACAATTCAGTAGCTAAATGGGAATGAAGAGTTACCTCTCTCGCACCCCCTCACACCCTAGTACGTCTGGCTGCCGCCTCGACACCCACACATCTTGTGACGTTCAACGTACGCCGCTGAAATTATTTAAAAATAAATATAATTCTAACGGTATTGTATCTAGGGGCTTTTGGTACTCGAACTTCTGTCTATACCCCGTAAGGAATCTGGCGTAGATAGAGATAGATAGAAGATAGAAAGCTAGTGTTATATCTAATCTTTACTATTTTTATACATGTGAAAGATAGTTTGTTTGTAACCTTACTCGTACAGCGCTTTAACGGCTTAACGGAATTTGGGTATACAGGTACTATATGGGATGAAGAAAGATACAGGCTGCTTTTTATCCCAGTCAGTGTACATATCCAGTCACGCAGACGAAGTCGTGATTAAAAACAAGTTGTCAATATTTTTAAAATGGATATTGTGATATACATGTACACTCTATGCCGTTGATGTTATTGAAAAATAAATATGATTCCAACAGTATTATTCTATCTAAGAAATTTCGGTCCACGATTTGCTCCATTTACCCCGTAAGGGACCTAACGTGTCTATAGTAGTTTTTATTATATTTATATTTTATCATCGTATACCGTTGATATTATTGAAAAATAAAATTAATTTTGACAGCAGCTTCTAAAAGCACTAGGTTCTCTGTATTACCTTGTAAGGGAATTGGAGTTAGATAGATAGCTTATATTTTATCATCGATCTTGTGACGCACACGGGCACAACGTTGAACTTATTGAAAAATATATAAATCTAATTCTGACTGTATAGCTACTAAGAGCACTCAGTTCTCTCTATTACCCCGTAAGGGACTTTGGTTTGAAGATAGATAGCTTATATTATATCTGTTTATATTTTATCATCATTGTACATTTTATATCACAAAGATATATAATGTACAATGTTGAAGTTTATTTATTTATTCTAAATTTAGAATAGTAAACAAGCTGACTGCCCACCTGATGGAGTACTGTAACCATCGTCTAAAGATATAAACAACACCATGGACGATACAGAATACTCTGTAGCGTTGTTGAAAATATTGTATCTAAAAAATTTAAGCACTCTGTTTTCGCTACTTATCCAAATGTAAAGGATCTAGTGTAAAGATAACAAAATGTATTGTCATCTGGACCACCAAGAACTGCAATTTAAGTATTTCTGTCCCAAATATATTTTATAAATTTAGTTCACATTGTGATTCTTAAAATAATGATTTCGATCTAAAATCAAATAATAGTTTTAATTTTAACAACTTCAAGAAGGATAAGCTTCGTTTGTTTCAAATCAGAATTAACACGCTCTACATTTTTGTCTTTTTTCAACTCGTGTTTTTTAGGGAAAATTATTGTTATTATTTGTTCCTATCGCCTTCCATCAGAGGCCCGTTAGCCAATATCTACAAAAAGTATTTTGATCGAATAAAAAACTTATTGGCTATTAAGGATCTATTAAGAAAATACTCACACAAAAATTTGTGTATGTTTTCATTATCTGTTAAATTTAAAAAGCAAATGATTTTAACACTAGAAAAATTATATGCTTTGCGTTGTAATAATTGTACTTACACATAAGATATAGTCATAATTACTAAGTTTATGTTATAAAAATAGCACCCGAGACATCGATACTCCGTGACTTGTATTCTAAATTCTTTAACTGGATGCCGACCCTCCTCCATACCCCTCTCCCCGTATCGACTGTGGCGCCCTCATTTCACAGGTACACACAACACTTATCCCGGTTTTAATTGTCGCCACGCACCGATGACCCTCGCTAAGTCCGCCATGGCACATAACGGAATGCTCAGGTTAAAAACAAAACTGGACAATGATATACACCGCGCCGTGATACATCTCAGACTTGAGTGAAACATTTTAGTTTATTGCTAGCTTTTACTCGCAATTTTGTATACATATTTGGATAGTCAGGTCATCTTCCTTACAACTTGTCTTTCCTTGGAAACCATCGTGGATTAAATTCTGATGGCATCGTTACGATGGGCCAACTAACCTGACTTCATCTATCTTCCCTTACTAGTAAACTTATCATTCCATTTTCATTGCTTAAAAAATCTGACCAAGTGCAAATTGGGACTCGCGCACCAAGGATTTCGTAACAATTATTATAATATATATATATATATATATATATATATATATATATATATATATATATATATATATATATATATATTGCAAAAAAAGTTTATCCTGTAATAGACGGATGGACAGACAACTAAGTGATTCTATTCCATTTATCCTTTTTCGGTACAGAACTCTAAAAAGAAGTATCAATTAAAAAACCTAAATTTTCTCGATGCTAGTTGTTTAAACATTAACACATTATTATTCCGTTATTTATATTAGCCTTACTATAATTTCGTCACCATTTTGTGGTAATCGTGTGTAGAGTAGCCATAGACAAAAAAGACTATTACCTTGGAAACCGGTCAAAACTACTCTGATTTTTTTGCATGCAATGAAATGCAAAACGTTTAAAAATAATACGCCTTTTGCCAACCAACTTTTTTTTTATATCTCGAATGTATCATGAATACTCATGGAATTATATGAGATAAATATTTTTGACATTCTATTGTCTCTACCTACACCTATGATAAACAGGCGTAAAGTAGCTATAACTATATTATATTTAATTACTAACATGAATAACTCTAACTGTAGTCTGTAACATGATAACACTTAACATAAAAACGACACGACATGAAAATTATAGAGGTTCTACATAGAGTGACCCTGGGAATAAATTTGTTTTTGTTTCAATGTAATATCTCAAACGAATCTTGAGATAAAATTTTAACGCAAATGATAAACATATTAACTAGTACAACTAGTATTTTTTATACTACTAACAATACCAATCAAGCTGATGTCCCGCCTAATGGAAAGTGGCACTTAACTAATGGAATAGTTAGTACTTGGGTGATAAATAAACCCATTCGATAAAAATGAGAATCATTAAAATTATTCACGGCTGCCGAAGATATCGCGTAATAAACACACAAAAAATACATTCCACTTTCAAACTTTCTTATTTTCGAAATATGGGTTAACCCGTACATAAAAAAAAAATAACTTGTACTTTTTAATCTATGAGTAACATTTAGCATAATCCGCTGGGGTTTACTATTCACTACTGTTTACTTAAAATACCCAAAGGAATGGTATACTTAATGTGAACAGTTTCAAGCGAAGAGGTCATAACTTTGAATAGATATTTTTACTTCAATGTTTAAAAGGGTCCCAATTCGTCTATTCAAATGTTAGTTTTATCTGTATGATACCCAATATCTTAACCGATTTTGATGCGATTGATAAGAGGGCACAATTGCGTATTGGTCCCATATCAATTTATTGACTTTTATCACTACTAAAGTTTTTTACAAAGCACAATCTTAAATTATTATCGACTTCTTTACAAAGTTGTAAATTGTATCTTATTAAAATTCTACCGCAATAGATTGTGTAATAGTTACGTATCCTGCAGGCTGTCTTGTGACGTAATCGAATTGAGATTTATTAAATAACACATGCATTCAACAACATTTGGCTATTTAATAACAGCTATTAAATCGACCTGACAAAATTCTAATCGTTGAATTTGCAACATTGAAATGTATTGATTGAGAACTGGTCTATAAGGAATTATATTGGTAAAAAGATATTTCAATTAGATGCAGTCTCTCGTAATAAAAAATAACATAACAATACATTAAAAACAAAAAATACATATATAAAACTGAATTAGTCTTGCCTTACCTTATATTTTGACATCAATTTCATGTGACTTCGATATGATCCCAATTCGATTGCATTTAAAGTCACTCCGCTGGTTCTGACTATTATTGCAACATTCTTAAGGCGCTGAATTGAGAGTAAAAGTTATTTTATCACGTAAATGTTATTTTTAAAATAGCATCGTGGCATTCGTAGTGTAAATAGTTTACTATTGCGACTCGAAAATACCTCAATGGCCGCAAGTCCGAATCTGGCCGACATCAAAACTTTGTATTTCAATTTAAGTTGACCGACTTTTGGTGATGGTAAACAATCAATAAATTTATTAACATGATAAACAACAACATAACTACGACAGTGGTTTCGTGTTTAATGTGCCCTGCGAAATGTAAGGATTGCAACCGCGAACGTACATATTTTTAAGTGACTACACACAGGAGAAAGTTCTCGGTACATTTTTTTTATGTTTTACGATATTTATGCTAATTCAAAATTTATTTTGGAAATTCTTATTTCCAACCTATAAGGTTTATGGTTCTTTATTAATGTCGACATGTTTAATGTTGCTGCTTTTTTGCACAGCAAATATTTGCACTGTAACATAGGACTTCACCCGCGTGAAAGTGATAAAGTTTATTCCTATGTAAAACTTGAAATAGCCTGTTTTAGCATAAAAAATAAAACATTTACAACACTAGATCTTAAAAAAATTTTGCACAAAAAACTACCGTTGAATTTCGAATTGATTTTTGTTATTCTAAAATTAAAGATTGATTCTTTGTGACTAAAAAAAAATAAAGTGGCTAGAATCTAAATACAAATACATAATTCTTTCAAAAACTATAAATAAAAACACAACCTGTTTTTAAATTAGTTGCCTATTTCATTTCAAGAACGACTGTTTCTGATTATGAACGATTAACTAAGTAACTTGTTTTTTTTACACACATTTTAAGCTATATATCTATTTCTAAAATTTAACATAGAAATACACCACACGTAATTGCTACTAATTTTAATCTAAACTGCAGAACTAGTTTTTATAATTAGCTATTTTCTTTTTACTCGTTAATGTAATGTTTAAATTTCCAGTTACTTAAAATCGTTCTAAGTAAATTGATATATGCCTGTTTAAAAGTTGCGTTTATCTTTACTGTCAAAGTATTTCTGAAAAAAAAAATATTAACTCAATAATTAGTGGTAAATTAAAGTAAAAATCAATCCACAAAAACCAATATTTGTTCATAGGTTAGCCATTAAATACTATAACATATCAAGCTCTTATTTTCGATAGACTTTAAATCCATTTTGATTATTTTTGCCTTATCGTGAAAAGTCTTGACATAATATATTTCGCAAATACCTCCACTATAACGTTAGATTATGCCTGCCGACCTGATTTCGGTAGAGTAGTGACGACCTTCACTATTCAGACATTTTTCAGCCATTGATTTTGCAAAAGTTTTATCAATAATTTTTCAATTGTGAATATAGTAAACTCGTCTTCGCTATCAATATAATTATGCTGGATACCAGTGAGGAATAATAGGTGTGGATACAGATGGGCAAAGCACCGGGTTTAAACCCGGTGCTTTGGTAAAAACCCAATAAACACCCATAAACTCCCATAATCACCCAAAAAAATAGGTTTTTACGTATTTTTTTGAAAATATGTAAGTAATACCAATAAATTATTTTTATAAATTGTATTGATCAATTCTACAATATTAAATAAAACGTTAACTAATAATATTTCAGGAAATTTTAAAAATCTATATATAATAAAATGAAAGTAATTAATTTTCAGTGTTTTCATGTTGCAGTTGATCAACATGTTGGCCTTTTGCTTCCCGTAGATACTTTAAAATTTCTTCATAACACCTCGTTCGCACACATGGCCGTATATATTTAAATTCTTGAGCCACTAACAGTCCGAAATACTCATTTCTTTTATCCTCTTCTCCATAAATTAAGCATTTAGAACAGTTTGTTTCTTCTTTCAGTAAATTTTCTTTTACTTTATCCTCGTTTTTTTCTTTGTTGCGACGACGCTGGGTAAATCATCTGGACACTGGGTCTCACTATCGCCAAATATATTTGGAGATCGGCTTCGGCTACGGCTTGGCAGACATTTTTTTCTTTCTACAATTTTAAATTAAATTTATTAGAATAAATGCTTCGAACACACGCGATCTAAGTACCTTTTGTGTTTATTATACCTTACCTACCTAGGTATAAAAAGAGTACTTACGTAGATTTTCTTTTATTAACTGTTTTATACGAAGATCTTGATCTCTCAAATTAGCATCCATTTTACTTCCAGTGATTATCAACTAAATTAATAATCCACAAAGTATTAAATAACGTTTTTATGAAATATTTAGCACAAAAACAATACCCTTTAAATATCGATCGTCAGTAACTGTGGCTGACTTACCTATATTCTAGCAAGCAGGACTGCCAGATGTGAAGGGGAAATCCCCAATAAATTGTTGCATGTGACTGATGATGTGAGCATGTTCGTTTCATAATAAAAATGTTGCCAGGTAACCAAAAAGTCGTATGTTTTTGTGCGAATTACGATCATAATCTTTACGATCGTACATTAAAAAATAGACAAATAATAGTATGAGTACGATTTAAATCGTATATCTGTCAACCCTGCTAGCAAGACAGCGACAAAATCACGTTGCATAACAATGTAGCCCAAGCTTATATCTTATGAAATATACGGAAGAGATACGGACTTAGAAAAAACAGAAATGTTGTTCTTTGTGGAAGTCATTGATGAAATTCTATGTATTTTAGCCCGCAAACTTTCTTCAAACAAAAACAGCGCCATCTAGTATCGAGTTCTGTAATTATCTCTTTGTTTATGGATTTGAAGTAAGACCGCCACGCATGCAATACATTATGACTGGGGATTCCCCTATTCGTCGACGCTGAATATGAGGCGACGACAATCACTGTCAAACGTGTTCACTATTACTCTGACTCTGGTAACGTGACTTCCTGGTAACGTGTTAGGTAGGAAAAGCAGTAAAAAAGTGCATATTAAGGGAGCAGATTTGAAATAATATTTATACTTAACAAGAAATAATTAAAGGTAAGTGGATTTTTGAATGATACAATTATATCATGATCACTTAACAATTTTAACTTAAAATTAGATGTATTATTACAAGCTTTTATTTAGCTTGCGTTATGTAAATAAAAGTATGTAGGTATGTTCGTATGTTGATGCAATTATCCTCAATCCTCAACCGACTGGGATAAAATTTTCCATACACGTTTATTTTGGATGATAGTGCATAGTTAGCTGAGAGTCGTCATTGGATAATAATGGTGGATAGCCTAAGATGTGTACTAGATATTTATTTTTAACATAATATGCGTAAGTACCTAATCGAATTAAAGAAGTTGCTGAGAAAAATACAGAACAATACGATAATAAACTAGCGTCTGCGTTTAATCCTCCGAGGAGATGTAATTTTACAAAGGTTTTTTGTATTTATTTTATTATTTTTTTAATAAATTTATTGTAAATAACAAGAAATAATCATTGTAAAAAAATAGGCACTCTATTGTTGAATTTTCGTCAGACCAACTAATCATCGTTCATTTTTTTAGGTTCAATGGGGAGACCTAAAGATTTACGCATATGGGAGCACTACCGTACTTTACCAAACAAGTCTGTTTCTTGCAAGCTTTGTAATAAGGTCTACAAATTCAGTAATGCTGCCAAAATGCTTCAACATCTTATCACTTGTCCAAAATCTCCAGAAACATTAAAAGACTCTATGAAACTTATAAAAGATAGCTCGTCCAAAACCAAAATGTCTAGACTGTCAGAGATAGAGACAAATGATTCTTTTATAAGCCCCTCGTCGTCTGCTAACACTACAATAAAAGCTGAGTTTCAAGACACCGATGATCATATAAAAACAGAATTAGCGAGAGCTATATTTGTAACAGGGACGCCATTATCGATGGTGCAACATCCTTTATGGATACAATTTTTCGAAAAATTGCAACCAAAATTTAAAATACCTTCACGTAAAGCTTTAGCGACAAAATACTTAGATAAAATATATAGAGAAATGCGTTTTGAGTTAAATGAGGAACTAAATGCTTGTAGTTACTTACACCTTCAGTGCGATGGCTGGTCTAATTTAAGAAATGAAGGAATAATAAACTTTCTTATATCAAAACCTCAACCTGCATACGTTAAAAGTTTGAATACAGAAAGTAATCCTCACACTAGTGAATACCTTAGCCAAGAAGTTGAAAAAGTAATGAAAGTGTATGGAGCAAATAAGTTTCTTGTACTTATTGGCGATAACGCTAGAAATATACAAAAGGCATTCGAATTAACAAAACTCAAATATCCACATGTTGTTCCTCTCGGTTGCTGTGCACATATCCTTAACTTGTTGTGCCAAGATATTGTAAAGATACAAGAAGTAACTGTGTTTATTATGCAAGCCATAAATATAATAAAAACTGTTAAAAGGAGTCAACGATTAAGTTCCTTGTTGATAAAATCAAGGCAGGGTGAAGATTCTACACAAACACTAAAATTGCCTTGTGCTACAAGATGGGGAAGTCATGTTACTTCGTTAAAAAGTTTGAAAGCAAATAAGATAGCTTTGCAAATATTAACAGTTAGAGAAGATGTGGTAATTTCAAGAGATATTAAAGATTTAATTCTATGTGATGATTTCTGGACGAAGACAGGGGAATGTATAAGTATTTTGGAACCAGTCACTGAAAGCATATTTTACTTAGAGAGCGACCAGAATCGTTTGCATCGCACATACATTACATTTAGAGATGTACAAGCTAAGATACGTTTTGCATTAAATGAGATTTCGACATTGAGCGAAGAAAGCAAACAGCAGATTCTAACATCAGTATCTTCAAGATGCAATATGGCAATGAGGCCAATACATTTTGCAGCATATATTCTAGACCCCAGGACTCTAGGAGTCGAACTTACTCAAGAGGAAGAACTTAAGGGTATGGAGTTTATCTACAATTTAAGCCAACACTTAAGTTTGTCAAATGTAATGGCAGATTTGGCGTGTTATAAAGCTAAAGAAAACTTTTGGGCCAGAGGATTTGTATGGAGCTCATTAGATAGCATTGAGCCCCTAATATGGTGGAAAGGTATTTGTGGTTCCACTGAGTTAAGCAAAGTAGCGATTCGTATTCTATCAGCTCCCTGTACTTCGGCAGCCACTGAGCGTTCCTTTAGTATCCAAGGCTACATACATAATAACAAAAGAAATCGACTTACAACTGAAAGAACTGAAAAAATTTCATTCATTTGTTATAACTGGAATCTTAAACATAAAGCTGAATGCGAGGACATTCAGTTTAATGAAGAAAATACCTTAGAAGCTTTCATTGAGCAAGTAAATGAACATAACAGTTTAGACGAAATAGAGCCTATCGAACCTATACAATTCATCGCTTGTAATAACTCTGAATCTGACAGTGATTGACTGTAGTTTTACATTTTACTTTCATCTCTTTCTTAATAAACTCAAAATCAAATTAAAAGTTTTTTATTCTGTAGGCTGCATAATAATATTGTCTATGTCCAGTATAGTGGACGTCTTGCGGCTGAGATGACGATGATGAAGTACAAAATCATAAACACCCAAAAATTTGGGTGTTTATGGGGTTTAAACCCAATAAACCCAAAACACCCGGTTTTTACCCACCAGACTTTAAACCCACCCAGGTGGATTGCCCATCTCTAGGTGTGGATGATCAATCGGCCCTAGATAGGGTTTTACAATTATTGTAACCTAATTACTAATAGTCGGCAACGCGCGCGTGACACCCTGGTGTTACAGACACGTATCAGTTACGATAACTCCGTTTACCATCAGACGAGCCGTATGCTTGTTTCCCACCATAGTAGTATAAAAGAAAAACTAATAATCCTTTTCTCCTCCCGGCAACTAGATATTATATTATTGACATTCTAAAGATGAAAAGGTGATTATCACATCACAAAGTTACTTTTTAAATGTACATAGTCTTACCACTAAAATAATTTTAAACATTTTCAAAGATTTTATTGACAGATTAGCTAAACAGCCAATTAACCTTAATATTTATATTATAATTATACAGTATGTTAATTAACATAACCCATTCCTTAAAACTGTGTTAATATTCATTAATAGAATCTCAAAATTCTTTTTCTGGTAAAAAATTACATTACCAAAAAATTAAACTAAAATTCTTGAAAAAAAAAAAAGAGTTATATCAACTCCACTACTAAAAATGCATATCAAGATATGCATTGTGTGTACCGTAATACCGTTGGTTCAAATACAAGTTGTTCTTTTATTTTGAGTATTTGGATTTATTTTTTGATAATATTTTTTTTTCTAGGATTTTTTTTAAACTTTCTTAATACTAACACCGATCTCAAGGAACGGCTTACGTTAACTAACATACACTGTAGTTGCAATATTTTTGCTTATTATAGAACATCATAGTACCCGAGTGATTTGCTTGCTAGTCTCTTATTAGGCGCAGCATGTTTTTTTTTATTATTATGTGTTAATATCCACGTTTACATAATATTATCATCATATTGCCTATGCATCCTATGCCCTTGTCCTTGTATTTATGGGTTAATATGTGAACATTATGTAAACTCAATATTAACAGCACAATTATAAAACTAAAACAATGATATACATAATGCCAGTTTGTTTGTCACGTCGTCAGGAGAAAATGACTCTTGTTATCAATACTCGTATTGAAAATTTGTACGCGTATTAAAATTGTATTTACTCGATTCAGTTTAACTTAAAAAATCGTATTTGTTTTATCACAATCGGTCGATCGAGACATGCGGTGTAGATTAATGCAGAGGTCAATTTTATGAAGGCGTATAGAACATTTATTTTTAACTCAATTTGTTTGTATTTATATTATTTGTTACCTCAGAATTATACCGCCGTTTATAAACCGACTTGGAGAATTATATATTTTTTTTTTTATCTAAAAGGATGTACTTTCAGATTGGTCCCTTAGAAATTTTTTCAATAGTTCGATTCCATAGTTTAGTTTTTCAGTTTTTTTTTTATTAAACAAGATTTACTTGTTAAGCAACTGTTGAAGAAGGAGGTTTTCTGTTACAATAAAAATGTATATATGGATATTTCGCTGCTGTCAATATTTTGCGTCCGTGCAAAGTCAGGACGGGCCGCTAGTGTTTCTATAAAATATCTTAATATGGAAATTGTCTTTGAGCGAGATCAAAAATTTAGATAAACAAATATAACGGACGTGTGACATTTTAATGATGAGATAATGACCAATACGTTTCCACGAACGTTGTACACATTTCCGTTGCTACGATTCCATATACTAGCTTAGCTGACGTAAGATTCTACAAGTTTATGTGTGTACCTTACATTCGCGCTCAGTTGTGACATTTCACACTTTCTTCAGCTTTACTTTTACTAGTTCTAATTCTAGTTATGACTATAATGTGGCTTACTTTTTTTTTTACTATTATGGTGGCAAACAACCATACGACCTGCTGATAGTGAACGATGTTTTTTAATAAATGAAAATTAAATTAATAGTTGCGCCTGCGCTATTGGTATACATAGGCGGGGTACCAGTGAGAGATGATAGATGAAGACGGAAGCTGCTCAGTTAACTCATCGTGATGAATGCCTCTAGATTTTACCACGATAGTTTCCAGTTGGAGCCAACTGGAGGTCGACCTGATAGGATATATTGCTAGTAATGGAACTACTAGAACCAATTAATAACAAACCCTTTCTTCTCTGATAAATGGGGTTACCCTAGTCTATGGACGCGTATAACATTAGAGATGTCACGCGCGTGTTACCAATCCTTAAGAAATATTTTTGTAAAACTTTATAGGTAATCGCTAGATTAGTTGTTTTGTTTCGTATATTTGTTTATACTGACAAGTGATATGCCAGTGGTGTATTGTCTTTTTTATTTCTAGCAATGGTAAACAGACTGACTGATCTGATGACTGGCGCATAATAGACATGACAGCTTAACCGTGATAAGGTAACTAATGTATGTATAAAGAGGCAAATCATAGATTCACATATAATAATAAATAACAGAAAGTTGAAATCATGTTACGTTTCTTTTCCTTTTTTGTTACGTTATGAAAATATATACTAAAATATAATAGAAGTAGATTACTAAGGCGTGCTAATATTTTTTCAGAATACTAAATCGTTCACATTCATGTATGTATTTAAAAAAATAATATCAAAATCTTTTCAGAATTGGCAAAGAAGTATTGTTACACACACAAAAATACAGACGAATTAAAAACTTCTTCCATTTTGAATTCTCTGAAAAAAGTTTTCCTATTTTAATTTAAACTTCCGTAATTTGAATAGTCCCCCTGCGACTACGGTCTCTGTAACTAGGCCGAAATATTGCAAAAGTAAAACAGGTAAACAATACGCATAAAATGTTGTATTTAAAAAACGTTGAGTTTTTCTCTTCCATTCATCTCTATTTGCAGTATTCAATATTCACTCCCTTTCTTACTATACCATCTCTCACACAGTCTCTATCCATTCTTGTACCTACTGTAATGGTCATAAGCACATACATATACTTAACATTTACCGTGAAAAATTAACTTCATTTCTGCGCATCACAGACCATGTTCTGTGTGCTGAATTACGTCCAAATCCTTTAGGCTGTTTGTGCGTGACTAAAAGCAAATTACGTGGCTTCACCCGCACGCATCTTGATATTCCCCATTCCCGAGAACATTTAAAAAAACCGTTCCTAATGGATCCCTGAAATCATATATAACCTTTGATCAAAATTTTACAATTTTGATAATTTTTTTTGCTTACAGTTTATTTATGTTATTAAAATAATCTATAATCAAAGTTTAAAATTTATTCGTACTAAATTTTGCTGTGTTCATAGATCAGTCAGGTTATTTTTACCTAAATTTATTTTTCTCTTTACTTAAATATCCTTTCATATTCATACTCATTTATAATATTAGTAGAATTTTCTCATCCTACCGTAGATCCAATACCACAGCTTAAGCTTTCCGTAATATGCGGTCTTACATAAACCGGGAGTTCCGATCGTCTGTTGGCGCGCGAAATAAATTCATAATCACACATAAACTAGATTTATTTGTTAAAAATTTTATTACATGCTTTTTTTCTTTGTATAGGCCATTAAATCTCTACTGCTGTGCATAACCTCTCCCATAAGAGGGATCTTGCCAGTAGCTGCCACGCTTGACAGACGGGTTGGCAACCACAGTTTGGCTTTAAATGCTTAGTTACTGCTATTTACAATAAAATGATACCTCTTACAATTCTATGTGTTAAATATCTTACTAATATAATAATAACTAGACGATGTACTGTTCATGGAAGATATTAAATCTTATATAAACTCTTATAAAACTCGTTATAAGAGATCTTCTCAAACACTCACTTCTCAATCCTAGTCACTAGGTTATATTCGTTTAAGATACTTCGTATTTACAATTAAAACGATTAACTCTGCTGAAAGAAAATCGCACCTAATTTTGCTATATATGCTATAATCGAGTGTTCAGCGTGTAAACCTTACTGAAGTATTTGATCGACACCTTTCAATATAGAATTTTCCAGAAGTTTATTTACGTCATACGATTTTTAAACATTTATTCAATTAACAATGTATGTTGTTACATACACCATAAGCTATATTATTGAGGACTATGGGTTTTTTAACTCTAGACTCAATTTGTCATGTCAGTGAAAGGATAGTACATTAGCACAGTTCCCGTGGGGGCCCTAATGAAGTGCACAAACAGTTTCACGCTCTGCCGAGTCGCACCGTTGCGCGTGGTCCTGAAGGCGGTGACGTCACCACCGATAGCGTCAGTGGCTGCGCGCGGGCACGTGGACTTGTGGAGGCCTCGGGCGCATCGAAAGTGAGATCGTAAGCGGAGTGCTGAAGGAGCGGGGAGGACTGCTGCCAGGGTCAACGAACCTTACGCATCCGACCAATCCTCACTTGATATAACACCGCGTTATTGTTTTAATACCCGTGACTTACACTAGCTACAATTATTTTAAAGTTGCGCATTGAATCTCTTCTAGATATTTTTTTTTCTTCTATATTTTGTAATAGACCTCCGATCTCAATAAAATACAAATAGGTACGTAACATTTTTGTATACACACATATTACAGATCATCTGTGTCAATACAGTCGGACGCCATTAGCAAAGATAATAGAAAACAACACCTAGAACAACGATAACAAATATAAATTTTTGTTAGTTATACGTTTTCTTGCAATTATCCAGCGGAAGCGAACAGGTGAAGCGAGTATCCGTTTCGTTGCTCTGCTCTGTGGCTCTATCTATCCACAGTCACACGTTACGGTTTACGGTTAACGTAATGTTCATTGAAATTTTATGAGAATCGCACTTACGTTATATTATTAAATGTATTATAATCCATATAGTGACGAAGTAGAAATACACTATGTAATTTTTTAATGTGTGAAAATGGAATGATATAACCCCACCTTCCCGCGCTATCGGTATAGGCTGGCTGGGCATCAGTGAGAGGATGTAAGCAGATCAATTTGTCCATCTTGATAAATTAGATAAGAATTAACCATTACAGTTTCCAATGTAAACCGCGTGCTACAGGTCGACCTGATAAGCGTATATTGCTGGCAATTAAGGTATTAAACTTTATTACTGACAATCCACCCTTCCCACTTCTCCCATTGTGACACGTCGATCACCACTCGTTTTCATCCCCAAAATATCTTAAGAGCTTTTTCCGAATTCATTTTCTAAGAGAGCAAAGCAACTTGGCAACAGCATGGTGGAACCCAAATCTTGTTAAATCGAACTTTCAAATATCGTTGAAGTTGAGAAGTCTTGTAGTCGCTTGGAATTACTAGCCTAGCAAAAAAAAATGTATTCCGTTATGTTTTATTATCTATAAATACTCTCGTATTCCATATTTATGTTTAACCTGTCAAACCTTGTTTAGACCTACGTTTATGGGGTCCATTTTTACTTATCCCTCCTCTCAAGGCAAACGAAACACATTTACAAAATTTTGATTGATATTTATTAAG